AATAAGAGTGGAATTTTACCCTCGAATAATCCCCTAACCAGCTGCTCAAGCATAAGGTCATTCTTAGTAATTAATTGGAAATGACTAACGAAATGATAGTTCGATTTTTTATCTCTATCTAGTTTAATTTTGTTAATAAATTAAAATGCATACTTCCATTATACGAAAAATCATTGATCATAAAGGTGTTTAAAATTAATAGTAAATGTTTTTGTCATCACAATGAATTTTGTTATATGGAAAGTATTGGAGTGAGTATATTTCTTTACTGAAAGTGAAAAGAATATTTATGTGTTTTACTCTTTTAAGATATGTGTGCGTGCGTTTCAAACATCTACATTCACCACCACTAACTTATCTAACTTTAATCATCTCATTACTGATATGAATAACTGCACAGTTATTGTAATTAAAAGCAAGTGAAGGCAATAAAGCATTTAATAATTTCTGTGAAAATTTACTTAGATAAATGAAATTGACAGAAAATAATCATATCAGTTTTGATCTAAGTTTCATAGTTTTATTTTTGATGCTTTGTTCATACAGACTTTAAGAATTTTTTTCTCAACTGTTCATAATATAATTATTGATGTTTACAAATATGAAAACGTTTGTTTTCATGTGAGTTACTAGGTTTCAGAGAGATATCTATGTTTACTGACGCAGGTGACCCAAAGTGTATAATTGGGTTACAAACCGTAAACAAATCTATCAGTTAGGATGAATGCTACAATAGATTTCATTTATATCAATATCTATAAATATTCCATCTTTGATCAATAAGGTTTATTGTCGAATTTGCAGTCAACACCAGTTTAATCTGTATTTAAGATATTGAGGACGAAAACATAATTTATATCTTTATAATTAATATTGAGCCATTTTGTTGATTGCTATTACCAGTTGGAGTATCAGTAAAAACTAGCAATATTTGTTAAAGATAAAACCGTTTAATCACGTAAATAAATTTAAAACTCGAATATTTTTCACATGCTTTTTTGATGTTAAATTAGTTATTTGCACTTTTGATTCAAGTTCCTAACTTTAGTCAACTCCTAGTCTTTATGTTTGCACAATTTATTAAATTATTTTTGTAAACTGCCTTAGGCAGAAACATATAGAATATTTTAACAGTGTTGCCGGTTGATAATTAGTTCGATAATTTGATATTAGTTAATTGATTTTATGTTTCGCAAAACCATATATTTCATCTCATACTTGTTAGTTATATCTGTTTTTTTAACTTTAATACATAATGTTAACACAAACAATGAGATAGTATGGCAGCTTGACTGAACATCTGGGCTACCTGTTCCTGCTATCTAGATATTTCAACAAGTTATTTATTTTTGGCTATTAATCGCATAACCTATTCAGGTGTGTTTTTGAAAAGTGTTCAACCTTTCGTTGTACAGGTTACAAAAGACCCAACTAGAAATATCATGGTTGCTGGCATAGTAATAATAATAAACTTTAGTGAATACAGGACATTTTATGCAATTCTATTATTTTTGACTTACTGTAGCTAAACATAGTATGTTGGAATGAGTTCTAATCTTTCTGTCAATAGATCTAAGAACGCTTAACAAAATACCGACCACTGAAAACATTTTCTTTTCATTTCATGAAGTGCTGGGGTTATTTTCTGAGCGCATACCTAATTTTAGAGCCATAAAATATTGTCAAATTGAAATTTTACAGGTAAAAGCTTTCAGTCATTTAATCCAAAACAAAAAGATGAAATCAGTGCGTGGATAAAGTGAAGGAAGAATTTGTTCAAAAACTGGATGAATTCAGAAGTTTGTTGCTGAAGCGACCCAATTTTTCTTACCTGAATTACACTAGTGCTGTGTTCAAGAGTTTACCGTGGAATGTCTTGAACTGTATGGTTGCATTCAAGAAACTGTACTTCATAAGTTTTTAGTGTTTGGGACAGAATGTTAGACTATTGTAATGGGATTTTTGCTCCAATTAAAAGTTTGAAGGATTTGTATTTCGTAATTTATACCATCCGCATCTCTTAAATAAATCTTGTTGATCAGTAATGTTTACAAAATAAGATGGGTTCAGCAAAGAGTTCTCTTTTTACGGATTTATTTCTAAAGCTGTACAATCACAATTATAAACTTACTTTTCAAAATGGCAATCATTACAGTTGTAGTGATAATAAAATTCTACTAAGCATGATAACAGTAAGATAAGTAAACTAATAATAATTTTATTGTTGAGTGCTTGAATGTTTATTATCAAGGTAAATAAGAAAATTATATATGGGAAGGGAAGGCTCACGTTGATATAATGAATCGTTCAAATTGAGGTGAACAATAATCAGGAGGATCTTAGAAACAGGAACAAGTCAGTTGTGGAGTAAAAGATCTGTAGGGAAGATAAAAGGGAGGAAATGGCTGTGAAATAGGAAAAGAATGAAGATCATAGTAAAAGAAGTTGTACAGGTTTCTTTCGGATACATAATCCCGTTTTTCCAAATGTATAGTACCTTGTCAATGCTAAGAAGATAGAGTATAAATGCCTTTAGTAGCTTCTACTTACCTTGCAGATGACTTAATGCAGAAATCGCTTTGACTGAGTGACCGGTGTTCACATGGTGTACGATTACTGAACATATTAGTAAGCCATTCCTATCTCTTTTCAGTCAAGTCGAGTAATGTTCTTGACTTCAGCTGGATAAAATACGCATCAAACAATCTATAAACCTGGCCCCATACAAACACACATAGAATCGGTAAAATGAGATGATTTATTTTTAAATACATTGGTGAACATTGATCGTCTGGCGAACATTAATCACAAAATTGCTGCAAAAACATTCTATTGAGGGAGTCGAAATTCTGTTCTTCAGGATGTCTGTAGCTATCCCACCTTCTAAATCGATGTTCATATAACGTTTTCTTTTATACCGTAGTTAGTCTTGCATTGAGCAGTTTGAGTTTTATACCCTTATCAGCAAATCGCAATGGATACCCGTTCCGGTAAGTATTTTCTTAAGGAGGCTCAGTTTATTAGGTTTGACATTGGAGCTACAAATTATTCATATCCATATAACGAGAAATATAAAAAGTTTTGCTTCCGTCTGATGGTGACTCAGCTGTGAAAACTTGACAAGGGTTTCATATAAAAAGATTTCCTAAGAGTTTCGTCGTATTTCCACAATATTTCGACATCAAGAGAGCGAATAATCTGTTTGTTTTAGACGTCATCGAAAATATATTGTACACCACAAGTGCACCGTTATAATAATTCGTTCTAGTAAGATTCCAGTAGTCATATATTAATCTGATTATCATTTATGTATTTTCAGGCAAAATTGATAGTCTATGTAAGCGGAAAATCAGGGAATAGTGATTCAACATCAAATGAAATGATATGTTTGTGGTTTTTATTCACGTCTTTTATGTAATTAATGATTTCAAGAGTATCATGTTAGGGATCTATACAAATACGTTTTCGTACCGGTTCAAAGAGATCTGCCAGCCACTTTGCTAAAGAATGATAATGCGATCCGAACATATCAAGAATTGGTCAAGTTTGTGTATTTTAGGCAAACCATATAACCGTAGATACTAGTGATCCTGTTCGTTTTATACGTTCGTAAATATCTTCTTTAGATACATGATCACTTTTCGCTCTCTTAAGGACTACATTCAGTTGCTTTTTGATCCTTTCATTGATTTGTTTGAAGAATTTGGTGTTGTCTGACAAGTTTTACATTTTGTTGACATAGATCTTACAGTCTAACAGCACTAAACCTTAATCTTTGTCTGGATATGTTTTGTTAGTAAATTTAAGCTGATTGTTTTTGTTAGAAAACCCTTATCTGTTACTTTGTGCTCATATATTGGTTGCAGCTATCGAGAAGAGTAGATCTAAAACATTAAAATTCTTGGTCAGTGATTGAATTTTATCCTAAGTTTGTTTGATTAAATTTTCGAGTTAAACATTTGTGTGAATTATATTTGTGAATTTTTTTCATTTATGTCATAGACTTTTGTCTCCAATGATAAGTTTTCCACTTAGATATTTGATAAGGATACTAAAGGATGAATAAACAGGTATCTTTCAGTTTAATCAAGATGAAACGTGTGAAATAAAAGAATACCACCTTATAGTGTTGTTTTCCGAATATTGTCAAAAATTAGTTAGAATTTTATGACACAACTAATTACAATAAAAAAGGCTTTTGAAAACATTGTTTTCTTATAATTACTGAGTTTATTTTACTTAAATATAAAAAATTTTACACTTGCAGTGCATGCATTATTTTATAATTTGCTTGAGTTGTTCTTTAAATTAATGTATAGGAAATCCGGTAATTAACACTAATCGCGTAATATCGTCAAGTGTATTTTATTGTTGAAAACTCAAATCTTACCATCATTCAATAATCTTCGTTTATAAAACTTTTATCACGCAACATGAAAGTTCAAGTTTTGATCTGATTAACTGTGACAGTTTTTTTATTAATCGTTAAACTTCACTGCGATTCTGCAAAAGCAGTTAGGTTACACAAAATTTGCTTACAGTGCTAAAATCAGAAATGTTAATCTTAAGTACTGTTTTCCTAATTTCGCAAATGAACTTAACTTTTTGATAATTGTTTGGTATTGCTTTTAGTTTACTAAATTTCTGAGCGCTTGAAGGTTATGTTTTCGTTACGTTACCAATAGAGTTGTGTCATTTGATTTTGTCTTCAGTACGCTATTATCAATAACAAGTTTTCTTACAATTCGTCTTAGTTCTGTGTTAGTGGCCAAGTGTTACAGTGTTGTGTACCAGTTGCCATTATTGATTTAACCAACAGTATAGATCATATGGGAGTAGCTCAATCATACCTTATTACGCACGTACTGTAGATCTGTACTAAACTCCTAAAAGCAAGAATATGAGACATTCGAAAGTTTAATCTGTGTAACTAGTTTGTTCATATGACAGTTAAAATTGGTAGTTTTATCTTACTACAATCTGATAAAAACACGCTTCAATTTATTCAACCGATAAAACAGTAAATTTTTATTACTGCTATATTTATTCACAATATCAGCTCGCATCATGGCTAACTCATTATTATTTTCAAAAGTGGAAATGTTCGATATTTTGTTTTAAAAAAAACGTTTGTCTACACAACTAACAACAAACCTTCTCTAACTTCAGACAATTTACAAATAAATACAATTTCATTAAATCTAAAAAAGAAAGCAAAATAATTTGATTTTTCTTAAATCATAAAGAGATATGCCTTGTTAACATTTCACTGCAAGATATTTTCCCGTTATGAACGTTTGATTTGAACGTGAACTAATAAAAAACAAAAATAAATAAATCATATTTTTTTTAATAAACTGTTATTGATTGGTTTGTATTACAGAATTATCAAAAGCATTAAGAAAGAAAACGATTGTACTACAATCAATAATTGTTACTATGCCTGCCATATAAGTGTTAAAAAAATACCTAAATATATTGTGAGCAATTTTATATCCGATGAAAACTTATGGAATGTTCGATGAGGTAATACAAAATGGATTACTATTCATAATGAACAAATAAGTTGAAGACAAATTCTTTTGTTGACTGACACAATAATGTTTGTTTACTGTATCTTTTATGATATGTCAGAGTAAAAAATGAACCTTCGGTAAGTACTTACGACTTGGAAATTCATTTCGACTATGATTTTAAATAGTACAAATGAAAGATTTTAATTTCAAGTTTTCAGTATGAAAGATTAGTTTCTATAGTTATTTTAAGTAATATCTTAATAATTTTATTATTTCTCTTTATGTTACAGAATACAGGAAGGTTGTTAGCATTATTTCTATATCCATATGTAAATGTGTTTTATTTTAGCTTTGTTGTTTGTACAATTTTAGTGAACATGTCACGTTCATATGTTTGAGTAAAACGTCGGTATTAACATACCGCAAATTCTGAACGGGTTTAAAATTAATTAAATTCATTACGAGACAGAAATGTAATAAAATAGTTGACTGAGTTTATGAAATGGAGTTTGCAACCGATAAATAAACACGAGTTTTACTCCCGACTGATGAGAGTAGGTAAGGAAACCTTATCTGTGTGAGAAACAAAGAATCAATCACATAGTATTGCTTCATTAAAACTCTAAAAAAGTAAAAGTCCTTCATACAATCAATAGTTATGTAATTCAAAAACGAAGAATATTTGAGCTTCATTTACGTTTGGAAAGTGACTAACTCAGCCTTTTCCTTATTTAATTACTATGATCCCAACATCATAACTAATTTGTTCATGGTTCATAGTGTAATTTTCAAGGTAAGTGGATACGTGTTAAACCATAATATTCCTAACAGACAAAGAATTACTCCATACTTACCAATCAATTCCTACAATGTCGGACAGATTATTGAATTCTTCAACGTAAGAAGACACTCCGATCCTAGTCATTCTCCTTGACATTAGCTGTCACTATAAGAATGGAAACCTAAGCTTTACACCACTTATGTATTTAAGACTTTGGAATATAAATTCCTATCATTCAACGAAATCTATAATTAGATAAACATATCCTCTGAGATACTAAGCTATTAAACGCAAGAAATCGAATTTTCTACTCAATGAAATATTACAACTATACTTGTTTTTTTAATGTTTCTATTCGTTTATCCATCGAATAATTGAGTGGCATTAAAAGTTTTGATGGTTCTTATCTATTATAAAAATTTAATAAAAAGCTATCATCAACGGACAACAAATCATATAAAATCACATCAAGATAGGTTAATTATTTGAATATGACAATGAATGAAAATCACTGACACGTTCGAGTTCCCAGCGATCATTGAATGTACAATTATTAACTTATCTTGATGAAAGATGATACCAGTCTACTTTTTTATAGAAATTTTCATATTTTCCGTAGTAGTTTAATCAACGTCCCGTTATGCCATTGAGACAAATGAAATAAGGTATTTAAGACTTCCGGATTAGTATATCTTTTTCCAGTATGATATTTATGTTCAGTAGGCACTGTTTTCTTTCCTCAGTTATATGCAGACATTTAGTTATGAAACCTAAGCATTAGATGCGATAAGCAAAGTACTTGAAAACAATAAATATGAATCCTCCCTTAGATCTCATTACTTACGAAAACATTTAAAGTTTTCAAACAAATGTATGCGGTGACACTAATTTGGGAGGATATACTAGCATTTATGCATAGATAGCTTAATGTTACAGTGAAGACAGGATACTGGATCAGAGCAAAATCATATATATATATATATATATATATATATATATATATATATATATATATATAAACTTAGAAAATGGATAGTTTTCTAACTCCTATGATTTTTAATCAGTCTCTAAAGAATTTTGAATTAGAAGAAAAACATGAAACAAATGACTTACCGTTTGAAACAACTTTTTGACCTATATTTTTGGTACATATTGTAGGAATTAGGAGACTAACATGAATTACCGTAGGTTAATTCAAAATTTCGTTGCATCTGTCACACTTTAAAAAAAAATATAATGAAAAGTTAAGAACTTCAACATTATCTTTTTAATTAGGTTTCTCTGTGCTTGGTATTATAAAGTACGATGTTAATTAATCGGTATTGGGTGGACATTGCGATGTATTATTATTAAACAACAAATTGAATTGTCTTATGAGCAACAGTTTATTAAAAATTTTCTTACACTATTCCAGTTGTTCTTCTTCGTCTCCGAATAAAGTTTTCTGCATTGAATATCCAAAATATCGCAGGATTTACTGTTGAATTCAGTGGTACCAAATGCTTAACAAATTAAAAGGAGTAGTATAAGGTCATAGAGAAAATACGATCAAATATCCAAATAAAAGTGGACGACAGTGAGTAGTGTATTAATTTGTAAAAAATGAAACATGCATGTTAATTCATCTGTCAAATTCCTATAATAGAAATAGTCATATAAATTCAGTATTCATGAATTACACAAATCTTCACCTACAGTATTTTATCATATCTAACAAGCGCGAGCATGCAAGGTAATATTTTACAGTTGTTATATGTGAACTCAATACCTCGTGATTCATTTTATCGATGATCTTCAATGCTAATACTCTCTTGAAATTAAGATGTAAGAAAAGCTGAATGCATATAAGTAATACTTTATATTGATTTATTAATTAACTAATAAGTAAGGAAAAATTGAATAGTTAGTCCAAGTTTTAAGTAGTTAAATGTTTGGAATTGGTCCTGAAAACATTTATAAATTGGTTAAGTGATTTTATTTTTCAAGTTGTGCCGTAAAAGTAGTCACGTATTCACAGTTCGACCGTGACAAGACGGCACTTAATTATTTAAACCAAAGACGTGCAACTACATTTTCTAAAAGATAAACTTAACTACAGAAGTGAGAAATGTATAAATAGTCATATTCACAGATAATCAAATCATTTTTGAGACAGTATTTTCCAAATCCAAGAAAGTAAAATATGCTATACAGGAAGATGTATTTTTAAAACTAACTTGAATAATTGGTGAATATTTCATCAAATATGGGGCACATCGTCTCATATATCCATAAGTAACCATTAAGTTCCATACCATAAATGGACACCAACAAATCACATAAGCTAAGTGATAAAACATAAGTAAAATTGTTGTTTCGTTTTAAAATATATTTCTATCCATTAACCACAAATAATGGTTATGAAGCAATACAAGTTAACGATTAAATCTAACTTGGATGTCTCCAAAGTTAATGTGATTACAAAGGAAGTAAATATCAATACATTTCAGGAATTTGTAATCTCGACCTTGTCTTTTGGCTATTGCTTTGTTTGATATTCCTCAAAGTTATTTTAAAAATTAAGACAAGTTCACTTATTTTTTTATGTACATCGACTCTTTTGACTTGTCTGGTGAATTTACTTAGATTTACAGTAATTACTTTGTCACCTTCAGATAATTTCACGGACCATATGTTTAGTTTGCGATACAGACATCATGTATTAGCTTTTGCCAGATAAGTTATGATCCATAAAAGCTGTTTAATATTCATTGCTTCCCATATTTTCGTATTTAATAATATATAGATTCTTAATCAATAAATAATTAGTACAGATGTTCTGGAACATTTTACAAACAATGAAAATAATCACATTTGCTTCTAGGTGTCATTACCAAGGTTTGTCTTGATAATTTTCTTTGAAGAATTGGTTTACACTGGGTCACGAAACGACAGAAAATTCAAAAATCTAATTTTTCTACTCGCCGGGACATTAAAATTATGATATTTTTATTAACACTTGCTATTAGGTTTTACGTCCACATTTTTGACGAATGATCCAGCTGTAAATGGTACAGTGACGTTCTACAGTTTCCACTGAATTTTTGTTACTAAGGTATCAGTAGCACTAAGGTCTAATTTAATGCATAATACACATTGAAGTAGGTTCATACTTAAAGCGAGAGTTATATGGGTTAAGACAATTTCATTAAGACATTAAAACATTATATTAAGAAACTGTCAAGATCACATTGTTCATATTAACTGAATTAACGTCTGTCCAGTTCAGAAAGGAACTAGATAACAAATACATTCAATCGTGTATAAATCTGAAAAAAATTAATTCAATTATTTACTTGAAACTATCAGACAAGTCATTTTAACTGTTTTCACTTTAGCACGGGATATACAACTGGAATGTACATGTTTACGGTTAATACGTCTAGATAGTCCGATTCGCAGACTCTTTTTATCGAGTGACAATTCACTTAGCTTCTTGTTTGATATAGAAATCGTAGTTACAGAAAGTGGATTGCTTAGATGTTTTTCCTGAGATCGCTTTTGACGCAAATCTGGTAGATCATTTATTCTGAATTTTCGAGATTTGGATGCACTCCAAATTTTAATTACGATGATAATATGACATGTAGCTATAATAAATGCTGGTATGACAAAAACTGACATTGCTATAGAGGTTAGATAGGCCTAAAATTAAAAAGAAAACAACCGACATTGTTTTGATGAAAAAAACGACTTGAAAATAATTCGGTTCAGAAATAAGCTGTTAAGATGAAAATAAAACTTGTGAATGGTCTATTTTGAAATATTAACATTTAGATACCATCATGTTTGTGAAATACATTTAATTTTATAGATATGTTAATCATCTTGAGTGCCTTATGAATACCAGATGACTATTGTTTGATATACATAATCAATAACTGACTAATCATTTCAGTGAAGCTCACTTTTTGAAAGCCACCTAGTTTCGGTTTAATTGTAAACAGCTTTGACAGACATGGTAACAATAATCCGAATGAGCAGTCAAGGGATTCATAATTCGCCAATTTTTCATCTCATAACTCTCCTAAATATTTTTGAGACAGCCTTATATAATATCATATACACAAAATGCGTGACTACTAAGAGGTGTATCTGGGAACACCGCTTGAATGTGGTATAAGAACCTATGTTTGTCTGCAAAGTAAACAGGAATTATCATCCGAAAGATTTAATGTAAAATATTAATTTCATTTCTATTTCGAAGAAATGAATTGTTTTTCGATTCAGAACTTTACACTTTATTAATCATACGAAATAAATGATCAAGCTAATGGTCAGCTCCTTACTTTTGTGATCTAAACCAAAACGTGGATAACATGTACAAACCATATGACCATGATTTTGTGACACAAACCACATTATTATGAGATTAATAGAAATCGACTAACAGTGTGTATCTATAAATCTCTATTCAAAAGACCAGATTATTACTAGTTAATGCCATTAAAGACCAGAAAACTTTCGGGGGTTCAAGTTATAAATCTATAACACTATACGGATTTAAGTAAATATTTAGAAAACTCTATAAACCTCAAGAGCTTCCTCTGATAGGTTATTAGTTAGTTATGAATAATTTTAGAAACTACCTCAAAGTGTATTCTGACGTCCAGTCAAACATGACTGTTTTACTTTTTGTATCGAAGTAAATATTCAATTGTTTGACATCTTAATTTACATTCTGATACTTGGTTTGTTAGTCTTTAAACAATTACTTATCGGTTATCTTCGTTATCCAGTGTTTAATCAGTTTTAACTTTAATAGATGGATTTCTTCCATTAGAAGAATGAATTACATTAAAGTAATTTTCATTGAGATCTTATTGGAAAACTTCCTTATTTTATAGGTATTCTGTTACTGGTCTTAAGTGTATGGTGTGCTGCTAATAATTTTTAAAATAAATAAATGATCTTGAAAACTACTTAATAGTCTACGTGAATCCTTAATATAGTACAACGTTTATCTTTAGTTTGCACACATGGGTTAACTGAATTATGATATAATTATGTCTTTTTTTTCCTGAAATTAAACAAACAGAAGGAGATAAAAATTTATGTTTACATTCACATCAACAATATTTCATGCAGTTCGGACATATGTTCTAACAACCTGTGTAATTACCGTCTCCAAACTCTGTATGAATCCTACATAATTCAGACAATAAATGATGATTTATGTGGACTAATAATATTAAATATGATTATTCTTAATTTTACATATTTTGATGGAGTTTTGTTCTCTGAGCTGGATAGTTTGGTTGTGGAGCTTTCCTCATTCTTCTGAACGACATCAGCACAAACTTCAGATAGAAGTGAAGCGTTCGAATTTCTTTATATGTGGTTCACGGGTTGTCCTGTAGACCTCGATGTTGCTTGGTTCTTGTTGACCTTAAACTTGTCAGTGTTTACTTCTTTGTTTTGGTTGTATCTCCTATTGGGAGATCAAAATCATCCACATGAGGTAAAAATCTTCTACACCATCTCATAATTTTACATATAACTGACTTCATAAAACCAGTTGAATTCTGACAACAATGTACGTTTTAATAGTTAAAAAGATGAATAAAACTACTAATCGATATACACAGTGAAATGATATAATATTACATCCGTAAAATCATCACTGAAAGTCATTTAATAGACTGTTCAGCAAATCAAGCCACATTTAGTAAAATAACAGCATTATATTCAAATACTTAGCAAAAAAATCAGTAAATGTAGAAGTCTTTTAAAACATAAGCATTTAAGAAGTGAACGTTTCTCAATTGACTCAAACACTAATTAGATTAAAGCTTGACTATGAAGTTTGATTTTCAGTCATCATGTCAACATTTTAGAGTTAGATAATTCCAGTTATTTCGTGAATTTACAAATAATAACGGATTACATTATGATCATAAGATTTACTATTAAACAGTTTTTTGCATATTGAACCAGGTTTAAAAAAGCATTCAAGAAAATTTCATTTAATACATACACAAAACTTATGGTGCCTTCACTGACATCTGCTTAACCTATGTGTAAACTTACTTGTGGACTAATCCTGCTAAAGTCGAATCGACAGTTTTCATACTGTGTCCCTTCATAAACTTTTTGAGCTAGTAACGCTGTAGGTATACCGCATACCACTGCTGCTAACCATGCAGATCCGATTAACATGAGGGCATGTGTTTCTTCAGAATAACAATAAAGAAATAAAAACGCAGCTGGTAAAGAGTTTGAATTTTGCTGATACAGAAAAACATAATGATCCTAGAAAGAACTACCTATCTGATGGCTAAAAGGTTTTGGTTTTCATTATCTATTTAAGATGTGGTTTTACTACATCACAGCAAGATTAGTATCGTAACTTAAGAAGTAATCATAAATTCACCTATGATTTAAAAACTTTTCAGAATGCTTAAATATCGTGTAACGGTGACCCTCAAATTATTCCAGTCTAAATAACTACGCTATTTTTTGAAGTATTTACCAGAAGCCACAAGGTCAATATTCCTATTCAGAGAAAATAATTTCTCATAGAATAATATTGCCTGCTTAAAAATCTGTTTATAAGTTGTAAGGTAATTATCATGAACGTAATATGGAGATATGAACAGGAAGATGTAGTCGTTTAATTATGTAGATTAATGTAAATTATCCTCAAACATAGTTTACATTAGGAACAAACTTCAACTGTTCAACAGTTGAAAACAAGATAGCACATCAGACACGATCCTTTTTGGTTTGAGATACCTCAGCAAGACGCATGTAAGACTCTATAAAGAATTGAACTAGGGACTGTAAGATTATACAAAATGAGTATCACCGTCTATCTTTTAGTAGGAATATAACAATCATCATCTACTTATCTTCAGAAGTGTTTCTGGAGCAACTGATTTAAACATTTTTTCTAATCAAAGTAAGATGATATTGAGCTGTTGAAATAGTCTATATTCACAAATTTGCAAAAGTTGTTATCTACGGATAGATTATTTATTTTATCAGTACCTTCCAGTTGTTTACTGCTTTTAGTTAAGACAAGTGGTTATAAATATGAACGCAGTTATAAAGATAACAACTATTTTGAACGTTAAAAAATGCGTTGTAGTTTTGTTCAAATCGATCAAAGCAGTGCCAGAATGAGTTTCGAGAAATATTTTTTATGACGGATTTCGCTATTTTGAAAGATTTTATGAAATATTGTCTATGAATGTAAATCAATTCCCTCTTTTGCTTACGTTTAAAAAACAGATATGTAAAATACTTACTTTTACTAAATTTCGATGAGGTAGCTCGGAGCGGTCTACATACAGCCTCTGCACGATCAATACTTAACGCTATTAATGCGAAAGAGCTTCCGTATGTTATGGTAGTCTGGAAGTTATTGACAATAAAACAATGATTTATCAGTGAATTCAAAATCATAATAATCATGCATATTGAATCTATTTGTCGGTTACATTTCAGAGATAAACAATTGAATATTCAATAGTCAGACAGAAGCATTTGTTTTCATTGACATTGTCATCATGTTCCAAATTATAAATCGGCAAGTATTATATTATAATAACCAATTTATTTGCGAATACGTAGATAGGTTATTTTAGAATTAGTGATTATTATCAGTTGAAAATACTAAGTCCATATAAACGTAAACACTTTCAAAGTTGTAAGTATCATTACCAAGGTTTGACTTGATAAATTCGAATAAATTGGGTAGATTGTTATAAATATATTAATATATATCAAATTTAATCCAAGTTTAAATTAATTTTGATTTGGTTATTTATTCTCTGAAGAAGTGGCCTACACTGAGTCACGAAACGTCAGAAAATTCAATTTTTCTACTCATTGGGATATTACAAATATATTAATTTATTTACTTGCAAAGTTGGTCATATAAGATCATATTTAGGGTCACTCTATCAGGTCTGTCTTATAAACTTATTGCATGAAAACCTCAGGTAATGAATGCTTCTCTGTGTTTTTCCTTGCTAAACATTCCGTGATATTTTTCAATACTGTTATCACAATAAATCTAACATAATATTTCCCCTCTTTCGTATCATATTTATTTGGTTTTCCTATTGTTAACACATCTGACCTTAAAATGGATTTTAGCCTAAAGTCTCAATCTAACCATACATTGCGGATTTTATACGTACTTACAGTCAAGATAAACGGTTCGTTATAAACGTGGAACAATAAAAATTAAATCAAACTGGCAGTTGCATTATCAACTGATCTGACAAATCGGTGCCAAGCGTTGTGTGAACATGCCTGATCTTTGTATTCGTATTCGTAATGTTATAACTTATATGCGTGTATGATTTTGAGTTTTCACAGATGAGCATTTTTGCATGCTTGTCCATATTCATTTATCTATAACACTGCTTGTTTATGAGAATCATATAAGATGAAACGCAAACTTATTTACTTGAGTTGGCCGGTAGTAACTTTCAGATATGCATCTATCTATTATCGTCTTCCTGCTGATTTCTACGAATGAAACATATACTTCCTAATTACACTCGTATCCGAGTTATTTTTTCTCTTATCAATAAAGAGATTCATTCAAAGTAGGTATATAGATATATATATTCGTGATGGTAACCATAACAGTTAATCATAGATTTCTAGCTTTTGAATAAAGGAAGGATCAAATTTTTCAATACTTTTAAAAATTGGAGCCTGATTCTCTGATTTACTTCTGCTATATGCAGTGTTATGAATTAAGTCTTGGAGCGTCTATGTGATTATTAATTACTGAGCCAAAGGTTCATGTAAATAACGTCCTACAACTAAACAATCCATTCCAGATTCTGTTTACTAATCAGTACTACTTCATATGCAAGAACATTGTTTTCATAAAATAACTTGGTTGATATATAATATGCATTAACGAGGTTTAACAAAGAATACGATTTAATATTCACATGAAATATATAGGAGAATATATTTTCGTACAAAGTATTTAAAATAGTTCAAACTTAACAGAAATCATTTGCCATTTTTTTCTTTTCATATCTAACAAACATTTTCTGTGACTTTAATCAAAATTATATTTTTAAGCGGTTATACTTGAATGATGTACAGTAAATAACTGATTCTGTTTTTTATAGATGATATATTTACAATATAACTGTGCTGTGTGCTACCAGATCGACAAAAGTAGTATATGACGCTAGTCAGGATGATCGAGAAGATCGAGGAGGAAAGAACGGAAACAGAGAGCAATTGGCATAGAAATACAGAAACAATGAAGTCTGTGACAGTTGACTGACATTTTGCAAGTGAAGTATTTACCGTATGGTTCTCAAATTTTACTAGTATATTCTGTAATTTTGTATTCAAATACATTCGATTGTCCCTACTTGTGTTCTCATTCACTACATAATGTGTTGTCTATGTTGTATCCTTTCGGAAATTTCCCTATAATCATGATAGAATAATTCAATAAAAAATAAACATCAGTAATTTAATAGTTGAGACCATGAGTCAATTAAAGCTAGACCATCATGAGAAACCTGGAAGCACTGGACGGCCATTTCGTCATTGTGTGGGAATTGTTGTTTCTGGATTTCTTACTTTTAAATTTATTTGGATAAATGAATCTAAACATCTAATGAATCAGAATGAGAGTTTTCCATTCTAAAATTTTTAGTTCATGATGGACAATATTTAAAATTTTTTTAAATGACAGTGACTTTTCTGAACATTATAAAATGAATTTTCCGAGTTACTAAACAAGCAGTTAAATTATAAAGATCTTGAAATGGAATTGGATAAAAATTTTTAGTTATGGCTAATGTTTTTATCATGAAATGGTTGATATTAATATGATGTAGGAAATAATTTAAAAGTTTCGTTTAGGTCTGAATAAGTCTGAAAAGTCCTAATTGTAGGGCGCTCAGAAAAATATATTATTCCTCTTTAATGACTCACATTAACTCGGCGCCCAAATATTGTGAAACTATTCGTTCAAATTTAGACGAAAGTTCTTATGTATAACACCAATGTTCAGATAAATTATTCTCTCATAAAACAGATTTGTGTTTAGGTTCTAATTCCTCAGTGATCTAGAAATTTTGTAATTCCTAACTTAACTCATCTATACTGACAATAAAAGGAAGAAATCGTGAATATAAAATATAATCACTTACGGACATATACTTCACTAGTTTACAAACAAATGTTGGTGCATAAAATACTATTGTGATATTCCAAATTATTTCCGGTAAGATTCCACCGAGGGCTACAAAGAGATCTATAGAAAATAAGAATAATAGGAAGAATCAATTTGTGCTAATAAAGATCGGATCAAACATAATCATGCTTAGATCCCTATATGACGTTTTAAAAAGAGTTGAATTTCTTTTATCTGGTATGCTTTATATCTTTAAAAGACACGATTTTACTAGGCTACACCAGAACTGAAAAATAGTATGAACATAAGATTCATTATGTTTGGAAAGGTCCACACTCTCCTCACAAAATTCGGTTTTATAATCATGACGGCAGCTGAAAACTAAGTTATTATGCACTTGCAAAAATAGTTTTCTCACAAAAGTTTAGCGGTCTTTTTGTTCGCTATGTTTTGTCAAAGTTCAAGGTATAAGAATAAGCCAATTATAATTAAAAGATGTGTTAATTCTTCAAAAGTAAGTATACTTGGTCAATTCCATGTAAATGCGATTCAGGACATCTAGTCGATAACAATGGTTATATACTTTTATTTTAAAACCAATCTTTAAAAAAAGTCTATTGAATATAGATAACGATCTATTATTCGAACTAGTAAATTATTTGATAAACTTTTACAAATGCTTCTGACTTATGTTAGATTTTTCAGTGAACCCAGATATGATCAGTAAATATCACAAGACATTGTTGTATCTGAATTTCTTTTCATCATTAATCACGGCTAAGTTAAATGACTCAAGCGCCAAACTGCTTCTAAAATATAAGTTAAATTACTGTTCACAAGATTTTCAAAGTTGCCATTCAACTTATTAAGACTATTCAATATATCGTACTGGTAAGTAAAAATTTCAAAAATTTCGAACTTTCTGCAATCGTAAACATTGACTTACTGGTTTTCATGTGATATCTAATAAAATAAAAGTTGATTGTACAGTGACTGTTATTTACCCTTGAGACAAACTATAATTAAATGGAGGTTATTATAAACTTTGTTTGCTGAAGACATTGGTTTACGAATTACCTTAAGTATTGTTGGTAATTGTTCAAAGACACAATATCCTGACGAAAACGTTTAATGTTGGATTATTGATGAGAAGCTTATTTTACATGTTTCCTATAACTGCTATTTGATTGATGATTATTCATGATAAACAGTATACACAGTTTAAATGCCTGGTCATATTTTCAACTTGAAATCTTTTCCGAGCCGTGATATCTAAGATTAATAGTGCTCTAAAGTTCATCTGATCTATTGTTACTAGCTTTAAAATATGCAAACGTTTTTTTAACAAACATTCCAGACTTAAAAATGATTTTTGTAGAAAAATAGATGGTGCTACAATGGAATCTCGTTTATGTTCTCTTCCAATAGGCCGATTTATATGACATCATGTGGATAGTTGGTATTAGCCAATTTGTAACTGAGTAGAAAGAAAAGCTTAGTCCATTCAGTAGCTCATTCTTTTTTAATCGACATACCACTCCTGACTTTTGGAACTTGTAAGTACCAATTATTATCTTGTTGTTTACTTTCTTCTTTGCTGTGAATTGAACATTCGTCTTTGGCGTTATGATTCTTATTAACTTGAAAACTATTGCACAAACTTTTGATAGGTTTGATTACGTTTAGACTGATATCATGAATAGATCAGTGTTAGACCATCATTGAAAATCTGGAAGAATTGGACGTCCTTTTCGTCCTTGTATGGGACCCCTCAGCAGTGTGAATTCAAGATTCCGAAAACGAGACCTTAGGCCTCGCGCTCAAACGTTTAAACTTTAGGCCACTGAGTAAGCATCCAATGATGTTAACGTCTAGCTTCAGTCAATCCACGATACTTCTCGACCGTTCACCATTGTTTTCAGTGAGTCACGGATTCTCATCTAGTCACTAGTGAGCAAATGATAAGCGTTCTCTCGTGAGGCCAAAAATCCTGAGCTCGAGCCCCGCGTTCGGAATCGTGGATGTGCACTGCTATTGAATCCCATTGTAGGACGAAATGGCTGTCTAGTTCTCTTAGGTTCTCAATGGTGGTCTAGCATTGGTTCATTCATGATATCAATCTAAACCTAACAGTCTCCACAACCCTATGCTGATAGTTTTGATTACATTAATAAGTGAAATAACATTCTTCCATTTACAAACTGTTATATGCATGTCTTGATAATTTTGATAACCTTATTAAATAGTACAATACCTCTTCATTTTTTACAAACTCTTATATTCAATAATTAGGATTGTTTAACTGTTTTTAGTGGGTTTTTGGTGGTCTAATTATAATACCCATCAATAAGATTGTACAGCCTAAAAAAATGCCATCGTAAAAAGGAAAATTTTTAGGACTAGATTGCATTCATTCTTTTCTTATTCTTTCCTTATGATGTTTTCAGTATAACAAGTTTCTTCCCTTCTTAAATCTTCAACAAAATAATTACTGTTATATTTAACTTTGAAATGATAGAATAGAAATCGATTTCGTAAAGTCGTTCAACATACGTACAAAAATATTTGGTTCGCTTAAATATAAATGCATCGAATAACGTAAAAATGAGCAAGTGTATATCAATCGGCGATATAAGTTACTGTTTAATTCAAATAATATTCAAAAACAAACCAACAAAACAGTGTATATGTTTCCATCGATGAATCGTTTTTGAATAGATTCTCGTATCTCTGCTGAGAAGTTGTGAATGTTAGTGTTACACTGATAGAAATAAGGCAGCTGTGATATATTGCGGTTTAGCAAACATATTAAATCTATTAGAAATGTTATTTGCTTGTGCTGATAGATGAATTGTAAATATTTTAGAGGATTCATATTTAAGGGTTAAATTTCACTGACTATTGAACTAATAAACTAATTTTAATTCTTCCTGTTGAGAAGATAAATGCGAACTAGATGGAGACCATCAAAGCATTAAATCTATTGCGTAAATAAAAGATGATTTGCTTTCCATGGTATGAAACAAAATGATGATAGCTATTCACTATGGTCTGTTTTATTTCACATAGAGAAAATAAATTTAAGTGATATAATTGATTGCAAACCGAATAGCGATCAACATAAAGATTCATCTGTTAAACGTTTGAATACGATTACCGAAAAAAAGTGTTATTTTGAATCATAGTAATTCAATTTTCAGAATGAGGGATCATAGAGATTGAAGTAATTTTATAATTGGATTCATGAGTCGATTTAAGCCCGACCATTATTGGAAACCTGAAAGAACTGGACAGCCATTTCGTTTTAGTATGGAACTTCTCAGCAGTTCGAATTCACGATCGTGAACACGGGACCTTCGGTCTCATGAGCGAACGCTTAACCTCTAGACCAATGAGTCGGGAATCAGCGGTGTAAATGTCTAACTTCAACTGATCTTGCGCAACCATTCATCCACTTGTCTGAGGTAGATAACTATCTCTACCCAACAACGGATCAAAACTTCACTGGTCTAACTTAGATCAACTCATGAATTCAATCATTAAAATTATTTCTATTTTACCTATCCTTCTATTTACTAAAGAAAACCAACCTTTTAATTTAAAATGACACTAAATTAAATGTTAGCTGAATATTTACTAAAATGTTTACCTGTAATAGCTAAATTAATAATGAATATTTTCATTTGTGTTTTGATTTTCCTTGAAAAAATCACACCAAGTACAGTCAAATTACCAATAACAATTGTAAAGAATAAAACCAATAAAATGATTAGTCCAATAGATTGTAGCTATAAACAAAGAAAAAAAAAGGTTAATCCTGTTAATTATAAGAAAAAGTCATAATTAAAAATGGTATGTTATTGTCATAATGCAAAATAATTGTTTCCTTGACTATAATCATAATAAGTATAATAACCTGATAACTGTTGTCACAAATGTCGTTTATAAAAGATAATTAATAATAACCCTATACTTTTAGATATAATGAATGAGATCTTTTGTCAGATAAGATTAGGCAGAACAGGAAATAATTATTCAGTACAATATTTATATACCTTTTGTAAGTATTTAAATGTTCATATATATAGGCAAGCTGTTCTGTACAAGAAAAAGCTTATCTGGTAATTGATTAAATAATATATCTGCAACATGAACGGTCATGGTTTATTACAAATCATCCAAAATTAGAAAATTCAAATGTGATATACAATAAATAGTTAATTTTATTTTTCATTAGAGTTAAATGATGTTTCGTTGTGGTCAAAATGTACGTCCTTGGTTCCATTGATATCCAATAACCAACCTTAATTAAAAACTTGAGAATGAATGGCATTATCTTAGCAACTTGCATAGGATTCAAACTTCAAAGGCGACTAATAAACTACAGTCCTTAACATAAGGACTTGGTAGTCGAATTAACTTTATATAAGTTTCTGAAATTTACTTAGTAGGTTAACTCTGTAGTGATAATTTCTTACGACAATGAAACAATCTGTGTAAAACATTTTACATCTAAGGTTTACAAATATGTTTATAAATACTGTGTCACAGTTTTATACTGATGTATTCATTTTGTCATAACAGATCAATTTTAAAAAACAGGCATGTACATGACATTCCCGTACCCAGAGTTTATTTGTTTTCCACTCACGGTTTTAACATTATATATATATATATATATATATATATATATATATATATATATATATATATATATATATATATATATATATATATTAAATAAAATGGTCAAGTTAGAAGACTTTTGAAATGAAGTAAGTCCGTTTGTAAACCTCAACTTCATGATATGCCAAAAAGATTTAGATAAAAACTCATTTGTATCGCCTATATAACGAATATTGGTGTATCATTAGCATTATTCTCAACACTGTCAACCGAAAGCAATCCCTAATAAATGAACATTTTCCGCTTACTGAAACTACTCCATAACTTTAAAATGTGTGTACAAATTTACAATATATACTCAACCTATTTTTGTTCTCTAAAATCTTCAAAATCCGACCACAACAAGGAATCGATCAATAAATTTATCGCTGTTATTATGATACGCAATTGGATAAATTTCAATAAAAAGTAGATAAATGCTGTCTCCAACGTTATGATGATTGACGAGTGTATTCGACTCTTGAAAATTGAAGGTCCATTTAAATTAAAGTTCATAAAGAGGAGTAGATAATATAAATTATGCTTTGAAAATTTCATGTGTTCAAATAGAACAAATTGAACACAATGAGTTTTGACCTACAAATAAGTTTTTATATCAAATTACACTAGTAAATACTAGCCAAATAAGTTAATGCTTCAGATGGTGCTTGGAGGTAGTCGGCAGGAAACCCTGGAACCGGGTTTCGTGCTATTTGGCACTCGTCAGCAAGATGTACCAGTAATTTTGAGGGAACTGGCGCTCCTTGATTGATTCGATCCCGTGTCACCCAGCTTCACAGTCAGATATGTTACCACTTGGCTATACAGGCTGAGATATATTCACAACTGACTGATTACCATCCAGTGATCAATCAATTGTGAAGTTAATGCTTCCCATTTTTATTAATGTTTACACAAATATTTTAAGAGTTTGATGAGTTATTTGAATTGTAAGATAAGAGGTGAATTTATATTCCTATTTTCAACACAACAAAAGCTAAAAGGTTATCATAATAAATCGATAGCAACACAGTTTTTACATAGTGAATTTTAAACGTAACTGAAGTAGTACTTGATTACATTATTAGTGGTGTTTAGTGACTAAATTATAAAAGATGTCTAATTAAAATACTTATGTTTGCTAAAACTTGTAATTTATTTGGTACGATCAATACATTTCCCACACGTTAACTATATAATCAAGTTTACCAATCTTTCATAACTAAGTTTACATTTTCACTAAACAAATGAAATGAATATTATGTGATGATTAGATTGAATTTTCTTAACACTCATCAGAGTTTGAACAATTTTTTTCAGTTAGTTTCTACAGTTATGACCAACTTAAAATAGAATTATTCATCCATCTATGATTTAACTACAATCAGTAAATTTATCATTGTGATAACTAATTGAGCAGTGGCTTTTATGTATCGCTACATAAAGTATAACAAAACCAGTAGACAATGAAAGTTATGCGGGAAACAATATATATATATATATATATATATATATATATATATATATATATATACTGATGTTTAGATATGTTGGCAAGTCACTAACTAGTTTGAACGGTGACTCGTAATGAGTGCAGGATGGGTATCTATCATTTGATGCAGATCACTAGTACGAACGTTTAATTGTAGATTCGATTGACAGATCATAAAAGATCTGGGCAAATCACTTACAATCATGATATAGACTGAGATAGCTTTTCTGTACTGAAAATTTTCCACTTTTTAATGAATTCTTAAGAATGTTTGTTCGTTCTAGATTTTTTGGTTATAAATGGCCATTGTGTTAATACACCACTTTTAAAACATTTAAGTAGATTGAAGGTGAGATTTTCAACCTAATATTTTACGATTGTAATTTATTGAAGAGTATATGTTCTGCATGTAACTGTTTTATATCAAGATTTTCAATTTCATTATAATCATAAAATCGAACAACGTACTTGAAGGTAGATTGAAAAATGAATGCAATAAATCTAAATTATGAAGTGAGTTATATTGTTTTATTTAATAATATTTCAAATATAATTAGATGAAAATGAATGATATTTATCTCACTAGTAAATAATAATGATAATACAGGTTTTAGAAATAACTACAGAACGAAAATCAATTTACAAACATGATCAGGTTGATACAAAGTTGGAACATATTGTATGATAATATCTGATAACATATACCATATGGTAAAACTATGATGACAAGAAAAAGTTGTATCTTATTGTTAATAAATACCTTGTACGTTTACATTGCTTTGTACACGTTGATTTCACTGTCTTAATTTTAAAGTAATTTATTCATATGCACAGATCCATTATGTAGATTTCATTGTTGAGGTTATGAACTGAAGATATTTGTCGTTGTTAAGAACGTTTGAATAGATATTATACTTTCTACGAAAAATAGTAACCTAAAAATTTACATGTTTGATTATATAGTAAATCAATGATTTATTACAATTTACTACTGAAGAACATCTGATTTGTGGTGTGCTTTGTTGAAATGAACAATAATCTTACATAATAAACATTCAAAGTTGTAGATAAAGAACTGATAACTTTGTTGTTACAGAAAACTACAGACAACTGATAACATCTCTACAAGACGTTTTCCTTTACATAGCGGTCACTCATTTTTAAATTTTATACATTTAATCAAATTCTAGATAATAAAAGCAAAATAATGGCTGAATTGAATCTAAATGGAAGAATGTGTTTTGTCATAATAGAACGTTTGATTATATGTAACTAGTAGACTAGGCTATAAAAATCCAATCAAATGAATGCTAAAGTAAAAATAGATTTGTAGGGCTCGGATACATGAGATGTACGTATGTAGCCCAATAATAATAATTACTATCAAAAATAATTAACTTTAATATATTTAAAATATGATCTACTTCAATCACTTGGTGTGTTTTACTTGTATCTTCACATTGTTATTTAGGACTGCAATTGATCATCTTGTACATCTTGTGCATCTTGTACAGATTACCTCGATATAGCCTTAAATCGCAAGCTTCGTTTAAAACCAGCATTTGGTAAGTAAGTCGGTTTTATATTCTAATAGAATAATAAAGACTATTTAAACTTTCTTTATTGAATTAATAGTATGCAAAGTGATACCATATAAGGATATAACTATGGAACAGAATGTAATTATTTAACATGGCATTTATTTATTTATTATTTACTTGAGAATTTACTCACAATAACTTAGCCTAAATTAACTTTTTTCAAACCTTGTTTCAAATTTTTAATTCACAACATTCACCAGTACTAAAGTAGTTTTATTTCAAATACGTTTGATTAGTCATTTGATATATACTAAACGATACACGAGTGACTGGAGCAAAATAAAATATGCAGTTGGTTCATGTAACGTATTGTTACATGAATCTTCAACAGTATGCTTAGATGAACGTTTAACAAATTACATATTTAATTCTAGTTATTAGTATGAAAACATAAGTTGAAACTGTTGAGGCGTACTGAACTTTGACAAATTCCTATTACAACATTATAGAAAAAAGACTTGAAAGCAAATACTTTGAGACTCTATAAAAAATCTTTTGGAATAGTTCATAGTCTTCCGAACTGAATACTTATTATCTGACAGTCAATTACATCATCTTTGAGTAGGTTTGAGGATTGCTCTAAACCAAGAAGAAAACGAAAATTTCGTTTACTGCTATTTACGACGTTTTAGTTATGAATTTCAAGCTTATTGTTAAGCACAAAATTTGTTATTCTCTTATAGAACATTTTCATTAAGATCCAATGATTAATCATAAACACTAAAAATAATTTGCAGATTTGAAGTGTGATACAAAATTAAGAAATGTAATATTATTCCATTTATTACCTAAAGTCCCAATAAAATGTTATACAATTGATATATGATAAATGAACTTAAAAGAGCTGTATATCGATCCTTTAAACGAATACAATTGTATACATCAACTCAGGTGAATAACATACTATTTTATTCTGTTAAAATCATTCAGGCATAATGAATAAAGTCACATTTCAAGATACATATTATGTTGTCATATATCTCATCTAAATATACAATTAGGAAATACAACGAATAAATATATTAATAAAACTATAGATCTATGTTATTGACATTTCATACAAAACAACATGTCTACACAAATTTTCAAATTCAAATATACTATGATAGGTAATCTATAGAATACATATGATATGTAAGTTAACGACATGAAATACCTCTACTAGCAAAATTATGTTCTGAATGATCACTTTTAAAAACCAATTTCACTAACATGTCACTATTCTCTGAAATGAAAATGAAAATTCATAAAAATAACGATCTAAATATATAATAAGATCAGTTCTTATTTGTTGCGTTTTGCCAAGTAAGAATCATATAAATTATCGTTTATAAGGACAAGCTACTCCAAAATTTTTAAAAAATAAACAAAAGAAAAATCCATGATAGATTCATCACAACAATTTAAGAACATTATTATAGTCCAATAAGTCCGATAAAATTATATTTGCTTTACATAAATCTTAATATAGATAGATTTCTATTCCTCTTCTAGTATAAAAAGATATAATTACGAGAATTTTGTCTAGTTTCTACGAAGATAATATTTAAATGTAATCAATACTAGTAATTAACGAAATAAGGAACATCTTCCAGACATAAAATGACTTTTTTCTTTCCTAGGTAACATTATTCTTTAGACTGAAGATCTAAAAACAAAATCCAGTATGTTTCCTAGTATTATTTAAGAACGAAACGTTTTTATACTGATCTAAACCTTTTTATGCTGACCAATCAGAAAAGCATTTATATAGATGATGATATAATATTAGCGTCATCTGTCGGTAATATTTTCTAAAAAATGATATTCATCCTATCCTAAAAACGAGAATCTAAAGCTCTACAAGTGTGATTAACAAATTGTTCAATTTCATAATGAAATTGTCAATCTTATACTTTTTAATATCAGATGGGTTTTGTGGAGATTGTGGTAATTTCAATAGTTAAGATCATGAGTCAGTTGAAGCTAGACCACCATGGAAAACCTGGAAGCACTGAACGGCCGTTTCGTCCTATTGTGTGACTCCTCAGCAGTGCGCGTCCACGACATCGCCCTCTGCAAGATTCGAACACAGGACTTACTGGTTTCTCGCGCGAGCACTCAACCACTAGATCACTGAGTCGGCATCCAACGGTGCTATTGTCTAACTTCAACTAATCCACGAAATTGAGCGACACATCCACCATTGTCTTCAGTGAGCTGATATCTCACAACAGACCTGTTTGAACTCCACTGGTCACTACTTGTCACTATAGCTCCAGGATATACCTCGTGAAGCCATTCACTAGTGAGCATATGTTGATTAATATCAGATGGATTTTGTGGATATTATAGTAATTTCAATGGTTAAGCTCATGAGTCAGTTGAAGCTAGACCACCACGGAAAACCCGGAGGCACTGGACGGCCGTTTCGACCTATTGTGGGAGTCCTCAGCAAAACTAAACGGTCGTCCAGTGCTTCCAGGTTTTCCATGGTGGTCTAGCTTCAACTGACTCATGATCTTAACCATTGAAGTTATACTTTTTAATTCATAAGTTCATATAACTAACATTTTAGTTGTGTTAAATTTTGCCGAATATAGAGAAAAAAAACTATATCGGGAGAAATTCCAAGTAATGTTAAATTCTGAAAACTCTATTTCATTATTTGCAACCGTTCTTTAATGTATTTGATGATCAAGATATTGTTGATAACCTCAGTATTTAAATGTTTCGTAGGTTTTAATAAAATGTATCAATAAAATCCATCTTTGTAATATAAATGCAAATTAGGAATTGATAGTATATTCTGTTGTTTTTTTGTTGTTGTTGTTGTTGAAAATTAGCATCATAGTGACCTAATTTTAATACATGTCTTGAATAGTAAACTTTTCAACGAATTTATCTTATCTGAATAAAACTTTATTAAAATACCCATATAGTTTTTATTCTATAAATCAATGTAAATAAGTTAAAATTTTCCTTTCAATTGATGCATGTGCATTACTAGGTGACTATGGTAATGAAATAAAACTAAAATGTAACATTCACCTTCTCATTACTTTATTGAGGTGGCAATTATATTTTAAAAAAAGATTTAACTGATAGGCAATAGGGAAACAATCTGATTAGACACGTTATGAGTGTAATTCACTTTTTCATTTAACTTATCTTTGTGGCCAAACATTTGAAGGAAGAGAGTCAGTTGTAATTTAACTATATAAAGGCATTCTAGCTGACTCATAAAATAATAAATAATCTTAATTGCAAAACGTTTTTCACATTAAACTGGATGAATGATTGGAATAATCATGGTAATTTATTTATGAACAATACTCAAGCAAAATTTGACATAACCGTATATTGAGTTCTAAGATATACCAGTGGAAACACTTTTTAAAAAACTACACGTCCAGTTCGACAGTGTTTAAGTCTTAGATTTTGTTTTGGGAATTTGAATTAATTGGTGGCCTATTCCCAATATGAGCTCCATAATAAAATTCCTCACAAGGAGAACATTTGATAACAAAATTATTAATAAAAGAGTCTAAATGGAAAATCTTTTTTGACATCTACAGTTTACAATTGAGAAATTGTGTTGGTTGTCAAAGTAATGTGAAATTAAAATTAAAAATAAGTTTAGTCATTCATAGGGCATTATTTATATTTACAAAGAGAAAAAACGAAAGTTTACATCTTGTTTTAAGTTAATAAACAATTTAAGTTATTCATTCATCAAAAACAGTTGTCTCATAGATATTCTTAAAATCGTTTGAAATAATCGTTCCAAAGGCATGTGAAATATATATATATATTGGAAGCTTGAGTAATAAATCCGGTCACTTGTTAAACAACTTGATATTGTGGATCTATTTGTCTCTGCTTGACAATGTTAGGGAATTGAAGATAAAAATCACATCGTCTATTGTTACGAATCAATATTTTGAATCAAATTGCATTATATTCTGGTCTTTATAAAAGTTTTGAGTATAGTGAGGTAAACTTAATATAATTTGAGACTATCATGTAAATTCAAAACTAATCATTATTTATCATTTGTATATATTCAATAATGACGCTTCAATAACATTCAATGTCTACTAATTAGAAGAAAGGCCTTATCAATAAAGTAAAATATAGTTGTGTTAAAAATTCTTGTGATCAGAGTTGTGAATATGCTATATTTGGGTTTTATATTAATGCAAATTTTATACAACATTAATTAGCTGATCATAAAACTAATGTTGACCTTGTAGTATGATGATTACGTTATAAGATTTATCAAAAAAGTCCTTAGACCTAAATCAGCACAATCGAGAAATAAAATCTACTTTGAAGGAACCAAAATACTTTGTAAAGATTCGATTTTATGCAAAGAAATTAATCAGCCTAACTTCTCTATGTATAGACAAAAATTTATCACGTTTATCATTGGTTTTGCCCTTGAGAAATAGTTTATCAATAAAACGTCTTGGCCGCAACTTCCATTTGTTCCGCTGGTAATATGGATATTAACAGTAACGATATTTTAATTATTGTCCTGACTTTATCATGGAGTATTTTTATAATTAATATCCAATTTGAATAATTTTCTACGATCACATACCGAGGAGAACTTAACAAATATTTCATTTCAGTCACTAAAATGTTTACACCTAGTACTGTCTTCTTTTTAAATATTAAAGTACTGTACTGATAACATAGATCCTTAATTAACATTTTTTTAGTTTTTGCACTCATCAAAGTAGTAGTCAAAATTCACCTGATCCTCGTGTCCCTTTGTGAGGTTCCAGTTTATTTCATAGTTACAATCCCATTGTGGTTAATATCTTTAATCCATCCATTTTATTTATTATTCTTGTAAAGAAGTCTGAACAATTCTTTTCAAAAGCAGACAACTTTACCTTTAAACAGAATGGTTAAATGTTTAATTTGACTACTCATCTTTTATTTGAGAACTAGGCTTTTGTGTTTTTGCAACAAAACGAATTGGTCGATTTTAAAAAGAACATTTGGGAGGTAGGTCATTTATATCTAAGACAGTATTGATTGTTGTCTATAGTATGATCTACTTCTTCAGATATATTTATCGATCAAAGTAACTAATAAAAATAGCCGGAAAAAAAAATTAGAGAAATGAACTCTCAAAAAGTACCATGTTCACAAGGTCAAATGAGATCAGAAATTATGAAAATTATTATTTTTTTTTTAAAATTTATAATTATGAAATAACTCACATGTTCATCTATAATAACATCCTTTTTATTTTTCAAATCCTCTGTATTATTATAGTCTTTATGACTTAAATTGAAATCCTTAGACTCAGTAACATTTAAAAATATATTTAATTGATCATTCAACATAACGGTATTGTTGTTATGTAATTAATGAATAAATAAATGAAGATAATTGTAATTTATTCATTGAATTAATAACATTAGATTTAATTTCATTGACTAAAGAAAAAAATGTATATTAGGAATTCTATAATCTGCATTATAGAAGTAGCACAATTTCATTGGTTAAAAAATAATCATTTAATCTACCAATAAAATGAATTTGAATAAAGGATAGATTTATTCGATTGAGAATAGATCGTATACTTTAATATTTACTAACTATATGTTATTGTCATTTAAATTTTAGTTAGATTTAATCATTAGAAAATGTTACTTACACTGTTGAATGTGTTTATTAAAAAAATTGATCGGTTTTAATAATATATTTATGATAGATCTGATAGGTTCGTGGTTCGAATCCTGGACATTGGAATCGCGGATGCACACTGCTAAGGAGTCTCACAGTAGAACGACACTGCCATCCAATGCTTCCAGGTTTTCCATGGTGGTGTAGTTTAAGTCGACTCAACCTTCGGACAGTATTTATGATATACATTTTTAATAAATCAATTAGTAAATATTAAATAAAAATCAAGAAAACCTCTTGGATAGTTCAAACAACACCATAATAAAATATGTCTCTCTAAATTATTCTAGTTATAAATTCTTTTTGGTATTTTATGAGAAAAAAGATGTTAAAAAAAACAAAAACAATTAAACTAATGATGAAAGGACTTTCTTGTGTAATAAATTTAATATCAGAAGGAGTTTTGTGGATATTATAGTAATTTCAGTGGTTGAGATCATGAGTCAGTTGAAGCTAGACTACGCGACTGATAGGTCCTGGGTTCGAATCTCGCGTGGCGGGATCATGGATGTGCACTGCTGAAGAGTACCATGGTAGGACAAAACGGCCGTCCAGTGCTTCTAGGTTTTCCATAGTGGTCTAGCTTCAAATGACTCAGGATCTCAACTATTGAAATTAGTAAATTTAATTCGTGTTTTTCTTTTGAAGATTTCGAATGACTGCAGAGAATATAAATTCATTTTATTCCCTTGAAAATAAGATCAAATATGATGAGTGACGTAATAAAGATTTTAAGAAGAGATTTTAATTTAACAATAAATCGAAATTGTATCTGTCAATAAATGTTTTGTTTTATCAAATCATATTTTATATGAGGATGTTTTAAAAGCTTTTTATTCATTAAAATTACTTTTATATTGTGTCATAACTGTATTATGTGTAAAGTTTTCCGAATGGTTGAAATATATGTAGGTTACTCACATTTTTTGTTTAGATTGTTTTGGTAATTTTAAGTGCTTCGTTGATCAGCATGTTTTCTTTCATAATATTTAATACTAGTACCTTCTAACTAATTTTTTTAAATGTTTTAAGAAATTTGTGAAGTGTTACATAAAGTTTCCAGCTGAAAAGGATGCTTTAGTTAATATCGTACCCTCTTGACTAAATGATTTAATCATAATTAAACTATCTAGTTTAGCAAACACTACATCACAAAAGAGCAGATGTGCTTTAAAAGTGATTTTTAATATTCACAGCAACAATGCACATAGTCAGTCTTTGATGTAACCAAATAATTTGATACAACGTTAACATCACATCTCACAGAGAAATTTCTTTTGTGTACTTTATTGTGTTTACCTTTTGAACATCAAACTAGTTTTCAACTATTACAGTTTGGTGTCGATAGGAGTTGAAAAGGAAAGCAACTGTTAACACTAATACATAATGAAAAATCTAAAGGCTATACAATCATTGCAACTCCCAAATGTTGAAATATGGATTTCAACTGTTACTTACTTTACTTACGCTTGTTACTCCCATTGGAGCATAGGCCGCCGACCATCATTCTCCAACCCACTCTTTCATGGACATTCATTTCCAATTCTATCCAATTGTTGCTTATTTTTCTCTTGTCTGTTTCTATTTATCGGTGTAATGTGCTCTTTGGTCTTCCTATTCTTCTCCGGCGCTGAGGATTCCATGTGAGGACTCGCCTTGTTACACAGTTGTGGCTTTCCTTAATATGTAACCTGTCCACTTCCTCCACCATCCTCCTTCTTCCTGATGCTCTCCTCCATTGGGATCTGGTTTGTTCTCTCCCACAGTAGGTTGTTGCTGATAGTGTTCGGCCAATGAATCCAAAGTATTTTGCGTAGACAACTTTTGATAAACACTTGTATCTTCTGGATGATGGTTTTCGTAATTCCCCAAGTTTCTCCTCCATACAGTAGAACTGTCTTGACGTTTGTTTTGAAAACTCTGACCTTGGTGCTGGTTGACAATTGTTTTGGGTTCTAAATGTTCTTCAATTTTAAATATGCTGCTCGTTCTTTGCCGATCCACGCCTTTACATCTGCATCAGATCCACCGTGCTCATCATTGATGCTGCCAAGATATGTAGAGGTCCTTACACTTTTTAAAGCTTCTCTGTCAAGTGTGATTCGATTGGTGCATGTTGTGTATATTGAGACCTACTGCTGCTGAGGCTTCTGCTACACCGGTTGTCCTCTCCTGCATTTGTTGTTGCGTGTGCGATAGAAGAGCAAGATCATCTGCGAAGTCTAGATCGTCCAGCTGCACCTTAGCTGTTCACTGTATCCTATGCTTCCCCCTAGATTTTTATGTCTTCATGATCCAGTCGGTCACCTGGAGAAAGAGAAAGAGTGAGAGTAGGCAACTTTGCCTGACACTGGTCTTTACTTTGAACGAGTTTGTGAACTGTCTTCCGCGCATGCTTGTGCAGTTTAATGCATCATATGAATTCTGTACGATATTGACTATTGATATCAACTGTTATTACAACATTACTACAAATCAAGGAAAATATAACGTAGACAACAATACGGAATAAAAGAAAATTCATAAAGTCAACATAGATACAAAATAGTTGGTTATTAGAGAAATAATTAAGAAACTTAAGGTGTCAATTCGTAGTAACCAAAACGAAATAATTTTCAGTAATCATGTTATATGTATTGTTAGTTAGCATATGCATTAAGGTATGCTTAATGGTAGAATGACTTGGAAGTTAAATAGTTGTAAATATTAATGAAATAGTAAATCAATTTTCTTAGAGACTTGCAAATGAAGGAAGGCGCACTTAACTGCCCATATTCAGTAAACGTACATACCTAAACATAGTAAATATGGATTTTGATAGTGATTTCAGTCGATAATATTAAGAATATGAATAAAAATAACTATTGATGCAATGCTTCTCAAATTTTTCTCAGTTTATACGGAGAAATTAAATATTTTTCATTTTATTCTTTCAAATGTCATAACTTCTATCCAAAATGTAGTAAAGAATCCTTTATATATAAGTTCTTCAAAAGAACTACGATCGTTTGGATCAGATTGATATTTAATAGTTTATTTCATGAGACAATTTAAGCTAGACCGCCATGGAAAATTTGGGAGCACTGGACGGCCATTTCATCTTAATATGAGACTCGTCAGAAGTGAGAATCCACGATTCCACGCGTAAACGCTTAACCTCTAGACCTAACAGTGTTAATGTCTAACGTCAACCAATCCACGTTATTGCGCCACCGTCTACCATTGTATTCAGTGAGTAACTGTCTCACAATGGATACCGTTTAACTTCACTAGTCACGGCTTCCCATTAAAACTTCAAGAAATTCACCTTAAAGCCAGTCACACATGAAGGTTATTACAATCTCCACAAACCCTCATTCTGATTTTTAAAAAATAAATTAATATTAATAGAAAATGTCTCCAAATAATTCATTTATCATCACAATAAAACGAAATATAAATTTAGTTACATTCATAATAATCTAGAAGTATTTTGTTGTTTGAAATGAAAGTATAGTGTTCTTACTATATATAATATTTTTTCAAAATAAAAGCTTTATTAATATCCTAGCACAGAATAGTAAATGTATGTATGTATCCAAAGTCTATAATTATTTTAAACAGTTGAGATCATGAGTCAATTGAAGCTAGTGACTGGCTTCAAGATATATATCTCGGAGTTCTAATGAGAAGCAGTGACCAGTGGAGTTCAACCGCCTGGCGCGAGACTGATAGGTCCTGGGATCGAAACTCGCGATGCGGGATCGTGGATGCGCACTGCTGAGTAATCTCACACTAGGACGAAACAGCCATTCAGTGCTTCCAGGTTTTCCATGATGATCTAGCTTCAGTTGATTCATATTCTCAACTGTTTAAAATTACTACAATCTTCACAAAATCCCTTCTATATTTATTAATAACATACACCTTATTACCAAGTGAATTCCAAAATTTACATGTTTACAAATCAAACTTATTTTAACAAAAATTATTTTAACTCACATCAATTCCAATTTAAATCAGCCAATTAAATTTATCATTTACAGTAAAAAAATCTAATTTGGATTTTTTTTTACTCTAATCTCTTTTTTTGAAAAAATATTTATTAGCATAATTCAATTTTCATTATTAGTTTACTGGGTTAAGGAGGTATTTATTAACTAAGAAATCTTTTATCATTAATTTACATTTAGTTAGTCAAATCAATCCGGTTTTATTAAAGATGGAAATAAATGAATTTAAAACTTGTTTCTTTCCTTTTAATTTTTATAATTTTCATTCATCACTGTTGTGATTATGTAAATAGATGAAGTTGATAATGTGCTAGGTTTGAAGCTATCACGAGTTCACTTAATCTGCGAACAAAAACGAGACTCGGTGACCAAAGACCAGTAAGCTAGCTATTGATGCGTCCCAGCCCCTCTAACTAGAGGGAGAAGTCCAAGCTTGGAATGGGAAGTATATTCTGCAAACAGCCAGAAACGAGCGATAACAACAAACACAATTCAAAACGTATATATACAGTGCAAAACCATCGTTGGGGAAAGTTACCAAATAGCATACTAAAAGACGCGACGGACCAATAGCATTCAAGATATTTCCCAGTGGGGAATACATGAAAGTGACAAGAGCGCCTTTGGCGCGAAAACAAAAAGAAATTCACATTTTCTAAATAAAATTACAAAATCAGGTCCTTTCCCAAGTGCGTTCTGAGGATCTAACGTCCCCAACATAATGATTGTCGTTGAAACGTTTATAAGTGT